TAATATTTAAGTGGAAAATTCGAATTTAGTTTTTCAGTCATTTTGACAGCCCTAAAGTCCACAGAGGATAGACAGTCTTACCTTTCTTGGTTTGACTTTGTCCTGGTAGTCATATTGAAAAATGCCTTTATAACTCAAACCCAGCCACCACGGGATACCCTGCTTATCCTGAGAGAAAGAGTGAGAAAAAGAGAGCATTAATGCGAACACACACACATGGCGATAAAAAAAGAAGTGTCAGCTCATGGTTGATGACAGCACGATTATCTTAAACACACTGAGTCTTAAGCATCCTTTAACACTTAAGTCAAGAGCGATACTATAGGTCGTGAGAATATGTGTGTGTGGACTGACGGCTGTGATTATAAATTTTCCCTCAGAGCACACTGACCCACCTTAACAGCGTAATAATGCACTCCATATGTGGGTAACGACTCCACTATACTCATATAACTGTGAGAGAGAAGAAATAAGAAATCTTTGACAGTATGTTATGAATGTTACATATGCAGACAATTTACAATAGCAGTGAACACATGGGAGTGGATCTCGGAAGTAATCACTGAGACTTGCAAAAACAAGCAAACAAAAAGTATTTGGATACTTTAGGCACAGTTAGATTTTCACACTTTTCAAGCAAAACATTTTCATAAAAGAGGATTTAGTATAAAACAAGTATAAAAGAACACATACTGTATTCAAAATTAAAGGCATAGTTCACTCAAAACTAAAAAAAATATTGCATTCTGTGGAACACAAAAAAAGACAAAATAAAAGTCAACAGAATGTAAAGCATCAAATCTCATTGGTTCTCACACGCCCATGTGACCATATGTGATCATTTTTGAGGTTTGTGTCGCCAATGACTCCACTGATTCATAATATGGACAAAACCGGCAAAAATATCTGACATTTTCTTTTGTGTTCCACAAAAGTTGTTTTTGGAATGACATGAGGGTGACCAAATGATGACAAGTTTAATTTTTGGGTGAACTATTGCTTTAAGATAAAATGCATTTGGACACTTTCTGTTCATCTAACTTAGAAGAACGTTTTGGTCATGACAATATTCTTTACTTACTTGACGATAGCCTGGCCTCTGGACTGTCCATTTAGCTTCTTATAGTGCTCAATGACCCGGTCCTCACTACAACACAACATACACACACACACAGATTAGCGGCAACAGATGACAATGCTCATGAGAACGTGGCTGTCAACTTATTTCAATTCCACAGGAACACCAAACGGACAAGAGTGAAAGAATACAGATGTACAGAGACACAGCCAATGAAATACAACACCATGAAGGAGATAAGTTCATTCTTAGAACAGGAAGTACACCGGCTTGCTCAATATGAATGTGTGAGTGAGTGTGTCTCAGAACGGCAGCATCTGTGAAATACTTCATTTGCATCAAATAGAATTCGAGGAAAATTAGGTAAGAGAATTATTCTGGGGAATCCTTTCCCATGGTGCTTAGAGAACACAGAGCAGATACATCTCGTTAATACCTCTCCATTATCAGCTGACAGCTGTGTGTATGTGTGTGTGTCTCACCAGTAGGCGAGTGAAGGGTGCTCCTTCAGTGCTTGTGTAGGCAGTGCTGGCAGTTTTTTCAGATCAGCCCTAGTAGCATCATTACTGTAAAAATAACACAAAATGCTCAGAAAATGAAGCACCTAACAGAGCGAAAAATCAGTCAATCAGAATCACAGAAAAGAGACAGAAGACACAGAATGCAAATCAAATTAATTAAAATAAAATATTTTAATTATTATTATTGTAATAATAATTGTGCAAATGATAATAATTTTCACATGACCAGTCTTCATCTTGGAAATGACAATCAGGGTTATCAGGGCATTCCACGCATACAAAATGTGCACACTATATATAACGCATACTGCAAAAATTAGGGTAGAATGGCAGTGTGGCCATTCTGAACACAGAATGATGGAGAGGTTGAGAGGAAGTGCAAGAGGTAGAGGAGATTGAGTCAAAGAAAACAGTGACAGAATAAAGCTGGAAGGATGCACATGTGACAGATTTGTAGCCGAGATACTGTGTAGAAAGTGTTTGTGTAAGTGTGTGTGTGTGTGTGTGTGTGAGAGATGGAGAGAGCCAGAGGTTAGTGTATGTAATTTAACACTGTTTATCCTCTGCATTCCATTTCCTCCCCTCTGTCTCCATTCCCAGGGTTCACACCCCCATATCTCTTTCTTTCTCTCTCTCTCTCCATCTCTCTTGAATCGTGTGCATGTGCTTATGTGGGAAGTAGAGTTTGATATACGGATCTGCTTTCACTCTGCAATGACACACTGATAGAGACTTTGATAGCACGTGAGTGTAAAAGAGGTCACTGGAAGGTGATTCATTCATTCAAACCATCCTCTTACCTCGTGAAGTCTCCTTTAGCTTCCTGTGGGAGAAATAAAGACATATTTTAGTATCAATAATGAGTGTTTGATGGTAGACGAGACAGCTTGGAAAGATCGTATCCTCTGATACACAGAACGGTGCATGTGTGTCTCAGTAGGGGATGTAGTCGCAGCCATCTGGACTGAATCCTCCAAAAGGTCAAACACACATAACATACCTGATACTACACCTGGATCACACATACACAGAGTTATAAAGGAAACCCATATTTCTCCAAAGTATTTCCCTCGCATGGATAACTTACAGTACAAAGGAAACATCCTGTTTTAGATTTAAAATAAAGCACCCTGCCAGGCTGAAATACTGTAGTGACATAAATGTGACTCACACGTGTATTTGAGATATATGAACTTTATGAAAGTTCATTGCAAGGTTTATGAAGGTGCACAAAATGATGAACAGCCCCACATGATCTTACCTGTAAGATATAAGAGGCCAGTTCAAACACCACCTCGCTTTCCACCTCTATGAGCTCCTGGAGACAGACAGAGAGAAAGAGACCCTTAAGTTCAGGATCACAGCAGACAGGACATCTCCATTAATCTGTCTCTTATCTTATCTCTCTCACTGTTAATGACCTGATCTGCTTACTTATCACTGAAGGGTCTATCCAAATCACTTCAGCTATTTCCTGTGTAATCAATAGCAGGACAAAGCCACATACACACACATGGGTTTTAGGTGAGGGAGTTTTTGAAGTGTAGGGGGTCTTGATTACTTCAATGACCAAGTTAAATGGAGCGATTCATTACCTTCGCTTAACACAAGAATTTCAGGAATGTCACACACATTACTGGCATATATTGGAAAGCTGACTCTAGAGTAAAGTGTGAGCAATGAGCTCATGGCGGGAATGTGCGGTATGTGACCAGTGATACACACACACACACACACACACACTCACAAATACGGAATGTTTTTTTGGAAGAATTAAGCACTTTTTTTTTAAACAAATTAAAATGGCAGAATAACAGCTGTCGCAAATATTTAATTATATTTATTATATATAAAAACTACTATTCAAAAGTTTGGGGTTCAAAAGATATTTTAAAATGCAATTTATTCCTGTGATGCCAAGCTGAATTTTAGCACCCATCACTCCAGGCCTTCAGAAATCATTCTAATGATTTGCTGCTCAAGAAACGTTTCTTCTTATTATTATCAATATTGAAAACAGTTGTTCTGCTTATATTTTTGTGGAAACCGGTTTTTTTTTTTCAAGGAAGTTCAGCATTTATTTGAAATTGAAATCTTTTGTAACAATGACTACGTTTACATGTGCACCAATAATGCGATTATTTCCAATAATCAGAGTAAGGACTTAATCACAGTAAGATGTTTACATGACACGAGCAAACCTCTTCACTCCAGTTTACATGCAATTTTCAACATTCTGATTATTTGCAGAAGTATGGTTACATTTACCGTCATTATTCGCATAGTCCTCAGCACAAATGATGAACTCATAGGTGTGTTACTGGCCACTGTCCACTTACATCAAATGCAAAACATGGTTACAGACGTATTGGAAGGTTATCTGGTGTCGTGATGAATCTCACAAAGTACCATTATAATCTGTTATTTATAATCTGAATCTATTAGCTTAATCACATTATTTAGATCAAAGTATTGCGTTTACATGAGGTAATGTTTAATCGGAATATTGCCAAAATCCCATTATAATCGCTTTATGAGGGTGCATGTAAACGCACTCAATGTCTAGTCCTTATGGTTACTTCTGATCAGTTCAATTCATTATTGGTGAATAAAAGATTATTTTAATACCTTACTCACCCCAAACTTTTGAATCATAGAGTACATAGGGGTGTGCGATATATATCGTCTGCGATAATATCGTAATTGTTGTTTTAACGATGTATGATTTGACATTATCGAGTATTTTGCAAAAACCATTCAAAACATCCCTACAGAGCGCACGCATACATTACGTGAAGTCTAGACTAGTGCGTGTGCGCATTTAGTGTGTTTTCTTTCACTGCATGATTCAGTCTATTAAAATGCATTTAGAATGATCACAAATTCAAGACATGATGGCAGAAAATTTATATATTTATACCACTTCATATAGTTATTCAATTTCGCACGAAGAGTGCCGTTTTTCTCCAAAAATTACCATGATTACAAATGTGACATTGAATTCAATAAACAATAAGTTAATTAAGAGACTTACGTTTTAGACACCATATTGCTTGTTTTTGCTCTATTTCGCCAACAAAAATCAGAGTTTGACTCAAAAGGTAATGGACACTTTTAGAAAAAATTGCGTTATAAAGGTATAAATGCCCATAAAATGTAAAAATCAGTTTCAACTTATTGGAAAAGATTAATTTCTATCAGTATGAACTGACCAACACACAGAATATGAAGAATATTAAAAACATTAGGAGTCAGCTGTCTTCGGCAGTCCTTAAGGTACCAGCACAATAACACACTCAGCAAAATATCGTCTAATTATCGTTATCGATAAAATCCCAGAAAATATCGAGATATAATTTTTTGTCAATATCGCACACCCCTAAGTGTACATGAATAATAAATGTAATATATGTTAATATACGTGCTAGTGAAGAGCTTGGTACTCTGCACATTCTTACAGTACCATCAGTCAATCAGCGTTGCCATGATGTCATTTTCCAGAGAAGTCTGTAATGTGGCATTTATAAGGTGCTCCATGGGCACAGATGGAAGTAACAAATGGATGTAAAGGGGCATTAGCTAATACTGCCCTCTAGTGATAGAACAGTGAAAACAGTTTACCTTGCAGATGCAGGACTTTGCATTGAGGAAGAACAACTCTATTGTGGCATTGTCCTTAAGGTAAGAGATACTTTCTATGTAGAACCTGTAGAAGAGAAAAAAATGTACATCAAAATATTTCTAAAGTTTAAAAACATCACAATATGCACAATTCACAGATTAAGACAGCCAAACACGATTGTGTAGTTGCGAGTATGTGATTTAAAATTGTTCAGTATGAGTAACCAATTCTGAATCCACTTTAGCAGGTTAATTCAGACAGTGTGAGAGAAACAATGTATTAAATACGCAGACTCAAAGACCAATCACTAGAGGGCATCATAAACACTATATACTCTTGCTGTCTCCATCCCTCTCAAAACCCACAAAAAGAAAACTATTTCCACTGTGCAAGCTTCATTTAGCAGTCAGATTAGAGTTAGCGGGAACTACAACAACAAACAAACACATAAATAAGTCATTGTCTCAAAATCTGCATAAATAATTAAGTGTTCTCAGCATGGCATTTTTCATTTCAGCTGAAGGCTGAAGCTGTGACATTCACACATGGACTGTTACACAGACACACACATGCATAGACATATATGTACAGATGTATGTAAACTGATAACATGACCTTGAACATACACTGAGGCATACAATGAACTTAAAATAAACCCTACGACACATTATACACGAAGACACATGCTTTTTGAATCTATGGCTGACTGTTAAAGGGGTCATATGATGCGATTTCAATTTTTCCTTTCTCTTTGGATATAGGTAGCATTATTTGTCAGAACACCGGCCAGACAGGGCATCACAATATGGTAAGGGAAGTAACATTTCCGTCACACGCTTGAGGTATTCGGCCAATCACAAC